TGGGTTATTTATTTTTGCTTGTTTACAGCCCCCGCTGGAATGTAGGCTCCTTAAGGGCGGGGAACTTTGAATTACCAGTTAATTCCACAAGTACGTCCGAGGGCCTCCCTCGCCCGGCACGATGCTGCATGTTAGGGGTTTCTCTGGGGGTCCTGCCGTCGTGAAGGATAGGGGCAGGCAACGCTGTAAACGCCAGTGAGATCACCGCGGGACGAAGGGAGTAAAAACCTTTGAGGGGGCTGTTGGGTGAGCCACCGTAGATATGGTGATCCCGAAGGCCCCTCTGGTTTAAACAAAAAGCTCCTTACCGTGGAGTCAATTCCAACTCAGCGACCCTATAGGACGGAGTCGAACTGCCCCATAGGGTTTCCCAGGCTGTAATCTTTGTGGAAGCAGACTGCCATGTCTTTTCTCCACAGTGCGGATGGTGGTTTCCAACTGCCAACCTTTCCGTTAGCAGCGGAGGGCTTAACCACAGCGCCACAAGGGCTCCTTGCCCTTTTGATTAGGTGACTTAAACAAAAGCCCACAGATAAACGTTTGACAAGTGCTAGAGGGAAAAGCAGGAAGCCACGTTATTGTTAAGTTCCTTCCAGGCAGTTGGGAATCCTAGCAACCTTACGTACAACAGAAGGAAACACTGCCCAGTCCTGCACCATCCTCATCATAGTTGCTATGCTTGAGCCCATTTTTGCTTTTTAACGCTTTAAAGAGGTCTTTTGCAGCAGATTTGCCCAATGCAATGCGTCGTTTGATTTCTTGACTGCTCCTTCCATGAGTTTTGATTGAGGACCAAGTAAAATGAAATCTTTGAAAACTTCAATCTTTTATGTTTATTGTGATGTTCTTTACCGGTCCAGTTGTGAGGATTTTTGTTTTCTTTATGTTGAAGTGTAATCCATACTGAAGGCTGTGGTCTTTGATCTCCATCAGTAAGTGCTTCAAGTCCTCTTCCCTTTCAGCAAGGAAAGTTTGTGTCATCTGCATATCACAGATTGTTAAATCTACCTCTAATCCGGATGCCTCATTCTTCATATAGTCCAGCTTCTCGGATTATTTGCTCAGCATACAGATTGAATAAGTGCGATGAAAGGATACAGTCCTGATGCACACCTTTCCTGATTTTAAACTACGCAGTATCCCCTTGTTCTGTTCGAACACTGCCTCTTGGTCTATGTATAGGTTTTCCATGAACACAATTAAGTGTTCTGTAATTCCC